TGAGCGGGGATCCTGGGTGTAAAATGGAGTGGCTGAAACATATGATTAGAAAGGGAAGTCATTAGTACAAGCCAGAGCTCCAGTGTCATGTTATTTATCTAGCACTGAGCATACATCAATTACCCATGCATGGATATGCTTAAATATTAATCTTCTTATTCATCCTCTTTCCCATCCCGCCCTCTCTGTTTCTCCCTCCCTCTTCGTGCTACACCTAACCTGCTTCTCATCTTCATCATGTTCTTCCTTCTGTCTTTCCCCTCCTTCTGTTTTCCCTTTAATCCCTTCTCCACCTCTACAGGACCAGTGGTTGGCGCGCAGTCCCATGTTTCAGAGGCGGGTCTACCACGTGATGGCGGCGGTGAGGCGGCAGCTCTACGTGCTCGGGGGGAACGACCTGGACTACAACAACGACCGCATTCTGGTGCGCCACATCGAGTCCTACAACATGGACCTGGACCAGTGGACGCGCTGCTCCTTCAGCCTCCTCACAGGTGGGCAGAGTGGTGAGAACACACTAGAGTAGACACACAATTCCAATAATGATACTGGGGATGGTTAATAAGTTGATAGGACCCCATTGGTTAATTCTTAGTGGCCAAGACTGCTTCTTCTTTTTTTTTTTTTTAAATGTTGCTAGTTCGGTAAGACTCATGTAAAGGAATAGTTTAACCTACGCTTGTTTACTTTTTTGCTAGAGAGATACAGGAGAAGATTAATACCACTTTCATGCTTAATATGAAGCTGTATTCCGGAGGCTTAGCTTAGCACCAACATGGACTATGTATATTTTTGTTCGATCATCTAAGAAGAGTACAACTAATGCTTTGAAGCAGCAGAGGAGAAGGACCAATTCATTGAGACCCTGAACTCCCAAGATAACACACAGGAATTGAAATATAAATGCGATAAAACTATGATGGCGCTATTGTTAGAGTAAAAATCAGAATTTCCGAAATAAAAATGTATTATAATTCTTTGGATATTGTTTCAGATTATAAAATCATACATTTGATATACTTTCTGTGATTAAAGTAACCACAATGCTTCACTTTGAAATGTTGGATTACTTCATCACACAACAGACAGCGATGGTAAATGGTAAATGGACTTCACTTATATAGTTTATATAGGCAAACGTATTACTGTAGAATAGATAGTACTTTCAATTGGTTCAGCAATAAGGAAATACTGATCAGAAGAATCCGAATCCTGTAAAACTATACACTGATTTGAGTTGGCAGCTTTATGTCACCATGCCACTGTCAATCAAATGTGAGAAAACCAAACACACAGTCCTGAGGAAGTAGACTAATTCACTTTTGAATGTGAAAATCCTAATATGTAATACGTATGTCTTTTCATTTGATTGCATCTGATATACTCATGAAACACAATGGTACAGAGATGGTTTAAGGGGATAAACAAATGCGTATTCATCTCAAATATAGTATATATTTTTTATAATTCCAATACATACACTGTTCATGATGTACATTGCACAGTATGTGATGCTTAGAAACATACAGTAGGTCCTCTCCTCTCATTAGATTGCACACAACGCCCCGCTTGTTGTGAGTAGGAGGTAGGATGATATACACTGAAAACACATCCTTGAGTTGGACCCTTGGGCATACTGCATCTATAGCCTCCAGGCTGGTGGAAGAGGGCTGTGCCACTTTCACTACACACACAATCTGTGGTGCAGATACTGCAGGATGTAAACATATGCTCTCATTTAATGTGTCTGCATGGTTTAAAGTTTAGGGGTTGATGATTAGAAATGTTAAGAGTGAATGAGTGAGTTTTGAGCGATTCTTTTTGAAGGATTCAAGAGTGTTGGCCTTTTGGATGTGACTGGGGAGGGAGTCCCAGAGGGAGGGAGAAGCTGCAGGACGATGTTTAGAGAGAAGTCATGGGTAGAGCGGGTTAGTGAGTTTGGGCCAATACAAATTATTAGTTTAGTTTCAGAAAAATTTCAGTGAGGCAGTTGGTGAGTTGGGAGTGTATGGTGGCAGAAATAGTTGTTGTAGAGAGGTAGAGCGACTTCCTCCTTCTCTCCTTCTGTATAACTTTCCTCTTTTGTTCTGTCCTCATATCTGTCAAAGTTTAAGACAAAGTCACAGGGAAAAAGAACAGGAGCTCCGTACACTCTTGTCCTTGCCCCATCTTTATCTCTCTGCATCCCGGGGGGGACTGGGGGGTCATATTGTCAGGATGTCCTCTCCCTGTTAGTGAAGCATTGTGTCGTCTCTCCCCAGGTCAAAACGAGTCCGGAGTAGCCGTCCACAATGACAGGATCTATGTTGTGGGAGGATACTCAATTTGGACCAACGAGCCTCTGGCATGCATTCAGGTGAGAGATAAGGCTTATAACAATTATTATCAGTTTATCAGATAAAGAGAATTCAGGTATTCTATTGAATATATGCTTTTCATAGTGACGTTAAACAGCAATGAGAAAGTATTAATTGAATTAGACACTACAGGGCTCTATGGAAGCCTTGAGAGGCAAACAAAGAAAATAAATGTCTGGTAAATGGGGAATCAAGTTTTTGCAAGTGAATTTTTTGTCGTCAGGATAATTTGTGTTAATGTCTGTCTCTGTAATACTAATTTCTACTACAGGATGCTGAAATGCACCCCAATAATTATAAATTCAAGGAGTGGATTTTCCTCCACCCTTTCATATTTTAAATGTTAGACCCTTCTCCTTGTGTGTTATGATGTACAATAAAAGAGTATAGCTGTATATAGTAATTCCAAAAAAAAGTTTAGCACACACAACCGAGCAAATAAGGAAGCGTTTTCTAGAAATAGAAAACCCTTCAGTTACCAAAAATGTGACTGTAGAGTTGAAGATGGCTAAAATGTAATGGTTACAAGCGATTGGACTTGTGTGCTTTTCCTGCTCATTAGCGTCGCTTGATAGAAAAATAATATCAAAAACATTACGATTTTTGTGTTTGTATGATGTGGCAGAAGCTTTTTTAACATCTATATCTTAAGACATTTGGGAGTAACTAAATCATAAATCCTTGGAGGTAGTCTGTGAGGATAAGCAAATATTACTTAACAAGTTTCCTCTGCAGGTGCTGGATCTGAGCTCGGAGGGGAAGGAGGAGGTTTTCTACGGGCCAACACTGCCATTCGCCTCCAACGGGATAGCGACGTGTTTCCTACCTGCTCCTTACTTCACCTGCCCAAACCTACAGACTCTACAAGTACCCCATCACAGGATAGGTGCTGTTTAATCCTCTGAGGACCAAACATCAAAGAACACAAACACATGAACTAACCAGAGAATGAAGGAGCCTCAACACAAACTCTGGACCGTCAGTATTTGCAAACGTACCGGATCTTTGCTATCTTTCCGGAACCTGCCCTCTCTGTCACACGAGGGAAGATCCAAATCTAATAACTTGACTTCAAGAGCCATGTTATTCTGCAAGCTTCGAGGAAACTCACTAACAAACCGCTGTCACAATTTTATAGCATATCTGTTGTTCTTTCCCCTAAAACTGAGGCACCACTCATGATGCCCAGTGAAGCAAGGTAAGAAAAAAATATTCCTGAGGGATTATAATTCCCTGAAAATAAATCCCATTACCAAATAGAGACTTGTGGGATATGAATGCGTTGATCAATGGTCCACTTGAAGTCAAAGACACTGACCTGTATGTGACCTATTAAAGGGCTGTAGGAGCGTCTCTAGCTAAAATCTCTGTATCATTTCATCAGACCGCTATAATCACTTTGGTGGCCTAAAAACAATATAAAAAACAAAGCTTGTTATCTCATTGACTCGCATGTACTTTGAAATTAAAGATACGATCGGCAAGTGTTAAGAGCTTGAAGCTGAAGCCCACATAAAAGCATAAATAACCATTTTAAAACTCAAATCAGGTAATAATGACTTGATTTGAATTTAGAATAGACTACGGCAGCCCTGAAAGGCAAGTGAAAAAAAACATCTGACGTAAATTGTTTACTCTCCTGGGTTCAAGACTTAAGAACAACCCCTAAATAAAAAAAAACAACAACATTTGGCTCAACATTTACCCCTGTACTACAAAAAACAACAACTGTCGAATCATTTTCCCCACCTGTTTATCAAATAATACAATTAAGCAACAAAAAAGAAAGATCATCCAGGCAAAACCTTTAAATCCCATTTTAATTATGAACCAAAAAATTATAATAAATAACCACAATTTCTCTCATTTGCCTCTCAGGGCTTCCATACACTTCTGGATGTGTGTATGTTATTTAAAAATGTAAGTGAGTGTGAGTTTGCTCAGGACCGAAGACTGTTTATTATCAAATGAATGCCTGTCATCATTAAGAGAATATCTATGGAATATACTCCAAAAAAGTGTGTATATTATATTATAATATCACTCCAGTGTGCAAATCTACTTTGACCAAAGGAAAGACAATGTCTCTGCACTTCCCTCTCCTGTCCAAAACAACATGTCTCAAAGAATATACAGTATGGCACATTTTCAAAATAAAAGAAGCTATGTACATTTATCTGGAATGTTGTCTATGTTAATAGCTATGATGGGAAGATGGTGAATTACCGAGCACACTCATTTAAAGCATCACTTCTAGTGCCTTTCTAACAACTTCTGGTACCACTGGAATGCAAAGAGCTGTTTGATGAGGTTAGAAAATGACGAGCAATGAGAGGAAATGGGACTGTGATTGTGGGAGACAGTTGAGTTAGACTTCATGTGATTAGGTGCAAACTAAAGCCGGAATGCAAGAGATTGCTGCGACTCAGAAAAGGCGAGAGAACAAACAGTACTCCTCTACTTTTTTTTTTTTGTGTTGCTGCTGAACACTTTGGGCTCGCCCACTACTGTCATCAGATCTATAATTCAGAGTGCCAGCCACGTGGAGACAGATCCAGCACCTGACGGTATAGCACAAATAGTCTGTTCCTTTCTTACTTTAGAGCTGAAATGAAAATCTGGACATGTGAGTAAGTGAGCATATTCATTTTTATTGTCATATTTTATTTCATTAATTAATAAACGCATCTGCCAAAATGCAGAGCTGCAACTTTTTTACAACATGTACATTATATACAAACTGGTGATATTATGCTTACATTCTATGATTGGAGACTCATGCATAAATGGACACTCTTAACTACAGGGCACCCAATGATCAAACATACATATGTTTCTTATTACTTTAAGTGTCAAATGGCCAAAAATACATTTAAGAACTCAACAGCAATGTTTTTCAGGAATCTTTACCCAGTTACTCGACATAATCCTTAGACTTGCACACTAAACTAGCTACATCTAAAACGTTAGCTAGTTTAGCGCGCTGGGTGAAATGGCATTATAATTTAGCTTCCTTCTTTCTTTCTGCACAATGATACAGTTGGCGGGTGAAATTAAGTAAATATAAACTAGTCCTTACATGAAACTGTACTAGGGTAATAGGAGACATTTTACTTTTTATGCTGTGGATTACTGTCGCTTCAAGTAGCCTACAGTTGATATGGGATTGTTTAAAGGGACATTTCAAAAATACACTCTTACCCTTAGTTATATTTAAATCATTCCTGTGTGTGTTTCAGAAATCATTACCAATTACGCAAGAGAATCCAAAGACATTGTTGTGAGCAGTTACACGTAGATTATTTTTAGTTTTCACGGAATTTAAACTGCTTTTCATATAATTGCACAGAAGGAAGTGTGCGCGCTGAGCTAGCTACACCTACAATGCTAGTCAGCGCGCTAGGTGAAATGGCAGTAGCGCTTAGCTTCCTTTAGCACAGTGATTCAATTGGCGGGTGAAGTTTGTTAGAAAAAAGTCAAACTACATTACAGGAAAGAGAAACAAATCCATATTTTGCTGTTGGCGTTAAGTGTCCCTTTAAGTACAGCTCATACAAAAAGTAGTCTGGTCTGACAAAACACGTTGTTCTTGTGGCTGGCGACAGGGAGTGGAGCTGGTCCTTGTTCTGAAAGCAGTTTATTCAGCTTCTAGGCTGGTTATTTCTGCCTGCCCACTCTCTCCAAGGAGGCACAGCAGCTTCCTATAAGCAGTCCTGTAACACATAGAGCATTCATATTAGTGGACAAATTCAATAAGCATACGGAATATGTCCAGCTCTCTTCCTCATCTGCTTGCTGTTTAAAAATAGTTTCAAGGCGTTTGCTCACCTCAAGGCGATGTTCCTGCCCAGCCCTTTCTTGTGCTCCGTGTTTCTCAGACTGATAGACAGGTTGGGAATGAGTGCTTGGACCACAGAGGGATCTAACACAGCCACCGTCTCCAGCAGACTGTATACCTGCCTGTCGTAGACCCCCTCGTTCTCCCCCACAAACGACCTGGGAGCGTTGGGATTATACATTGAAAACCATGAAGGATAACATAGGTAATATAGATAGTTACTCAGTGATTAAAGTGAATGTATCAGCGTTGTGCATCAAGCCCTAATACAGGTGCGGGTTTTTTTTTTAATCGCTCATCATAATTGTTAATTACCCTAAGACAGTGATCATCTGGTCACTCGGTCCCTCTGTAGATGCAGCGGCACACCGCTCCACCACCAGCTGTAAGGCGTCTGTGCTCGTTTTCCTCACTGCACGGGGAAAACACGCACTTATCATGAGACAGCTTTTCATTCAGTGATTACTATAAACACAAACTATTTGTTTCTGTATAATTTGCCCCAAAAGTGAGGATTGATGTGAATAGTAAGCATTAAGGACGTGTTTGCAACCATCTCGCTGATGGTAAGAACTATAATTACAGCATTTATTGAGTTGGTATCAAAGTGACGGAGCTGCAGATAAAGGTTTAATCACATTTCTTTTAGAAGAGCTTGAGGGGAAAAAATGACTAACATTTGCTGTTTATTCAAAATGGCTAACTTATTAAAGACTCAGACATTTATTATTTCCTGACCCCTGGTCCTTTCAGTAGCTCACATTAGGAATGGGTATTATCAGGGGAAGGTAATAGTTTAAGTTTGTTATCGTTATTGGCTCTTTTTTTTAATCACTAAATAATTCGTAATTATAATTAATGTATTATTTTAAAGAAAAATATTCAGAACAGGATAAGAATGTCTTTATATTGTTACGGTAAGTAAATATTATGTCTAGCGCGCAACAGTTAAGTTTACAAGAGCAATGTCACTTTAAAAAAAAAAAAAAAAGTGCTTTTCTCAGCAAGCAGCTAAAGTTACAAGAAACGTCCAAATCTGACGATATGTGGCAAACTGAGCAATCCAATTAAACTTCATACAGACAGATTTTGTTCTGGCTTGCTTGTAGAAATGTGCTATTAGCTAGCATTCATTTTTTGTGTAAAACATGGCATTGTGGATAGCGGATTGGGAAGAGAGCAGATTTAAATGTCATTTTTCTACACGTTTATGGTTGTCTCACAGGTGTAATGATGAAGGATTTGCTCTTTACTCGCAAAGGTTTTATTGCACTTAAAGTATTGAGTTGGAGGTGATGTCCAAAAAATACTCTTCACTTTATAAACTATGGATTATTTTGTTTGTATATGAATGAAGTTACCCTGCGGCTCGTTGACCAGCATCACACAGCGCAGCAGAGAGGGGAGGGGCACAGTGAGGAGGGCGGGGTCTAAGTCACTGTTTCTCCTCAGGAGCTCCAACAGGAACATCAGCACTGCTGCCAGTCGTGGAGGGGGGGCGTGACCTTTAAACTGCAGGAAGCTCATGCTGAAATGAGAGACGTTTCCAAAAAATGTTTTATTTAGTTTTGAGGAAGAATTGCATAGTCAAAGAAACATTGCGGAAAACGATAAATCATAGGTCGCCAATGGATTAAAATGTAGTCAAACAAATACATCTAAGCTGCCATAATCAATTTGATCCAACCAACATCCTGGTTCCAGCGACCTACCAGAGCACCTCCAGGATGGTCTTCCTCAGCGCCGCTCCTCGGGGGGTAGGGTTAGCCTCGCAGGCCCCGAGGAGCACTGGGTGGTTGGAGATGACGCCCATGGAGGGGGAGGCGGGGAGGAAGTGGTCCAGATATCTGCGGGTGACCGAGCGGAGCTGCTGCTTCAGGTAGGCGCCCTGCGACTGAGACACACAGGAGGCCACTGACAGACCCTGCAGGGGAATCGATTAAAGGAACAAATGAGAGATATGAGAGGAAAAGTGTTCTTATAACAGCTTCATTGATTCAGTTTTTATGTATGTTTGTCCTGACCTGTAGATACAGAGGCAGGCTGTCCCTCAGCGCTTTGTCCTGCTGTGTGAGGTTGTGGGGGAGCAGCAGCCCGTCCACTATTCTGAACAGCAGCTGCTGGGCTTTAGAGGTGGCCAGCAGGGGGCTCCAGTGCTTCACTATGCAGCCTGGGTCAAACGGCACAAAGCAGATTCAGTCAGTCTGGAGTGTAGCGATTCCTTAGTCTGGCACTCAGACTGGAGAAATAAAAAAAGTGCTTCCGAAGTAATGTTTACCATAAAAATAAGTGAATCTTAAAGGGGGGATCTTAAAGGGGGGTCTGTAAAGTTTACAGGTTTATGAACGATCATCATATCAAATATTTTATTTTTTTTCTAAAGGCCACATTGTTAAAAAGATATGTCGTTTTGAAATTTAAAAAATGCGTGTGTGTGTGTTCTGTAAAGTGTTCTTTAAATTAGTCCCTTTTTACTTATTTTGGTACAGCACTTCAACAATTTTCAAGATGCAACGATTGTATTCTCATTTGCACAAAAGCTACAGTGTAGGCAATGAAAAACTTCAGTCCCACCTGTCCAACATACAATACACTTCAGAAAAAAAGAGAGTAGAAAGTTAAATAATGCAAGTAAACGCAGGAATTAAGATGTACATGTGAGATGGGCCAAGATGATAGAATGTAAAAAGACTTTAGAGTACAATAAATACTGTTTGCTGTAGTGATATATGAACGGGATGCGGTGCTCCTACCGACAGCCCAGTAGGCCAGCTGCAGCCCCTCCTGACTCTTGCTGACCAGAGAGGGTTTGATGTGCTTCATGATGTCACCAATGTAGTCCAGGGCTCTGGTCACCATGGCTGAGCGCTCAGACAGGACCTGCAGACCACTGTACACCCCCCCTACAGCCTGGGAGAGAGGAGGGAATACAAACATGGGAATAACTACAGGTAAATACAGACTGTACGCATTCATCGAATATAGTGCAGACATGAGTAAAGTACCTCATCAATTTCAGATAAACAACGTTTTCTGCAAGAGTTTAGTTACACTGGTTAAGTAATTTATATACAATGGTTCTTTTGGGAGTCAGTATTCACCTTAATCGAATACTTTATCTATATACATCACATCACATTGCATTTAGCTGACGCTTTTATCCAAAGCGACTTACAATAAGTGCATTCGACCAACAAGATACAAACGTGAAGAAAACAGAAACATAAGTACATCAGGTTTCATAGAGATAAAACATTTCAAGTGCTACTCAACTAGCTTTAGATAAGCCAGCCCTTTATTAGTATATAAGTGCTTTGTTAGTAATTCAATCGCTCGAAGTGGAGTCTAAAGAGATGAGTTTTCAGTCTGCGCCGGAAGATGTGTAAGCTTTCTGCTGTCCTGATTTCAATGGGGAGCTCATTCCACCATTTTGGAGCCAGGATAGCAAACCCACGAGTTTTTGCTGATGGGAACTTGGGTCCCCCTCGCAGTGCGGGTGCAGCGAGCTGTTTGGCTGATGCAGAGCGGAGTGCACGTGCTGGGGTGTACAGTTTAACCATATAACGGGGAACATTTGATTTTGAGTGAGTTGTTCTATTTAAAACAAAATAAAATATGTATATAAACATAAAAAGTTGAAATAAGAATGTGCAATAAAACAATAAAATAAAATATATTTATTAAAACAAAAAGAAGATAAAGTAAACAGGCCAATTAAAGAAATGTTTTAATTCAAAATATTTATGCACATTTTATGTATGATGTGTATTAAAATACAGTGGTCCATAAGTATAAATAATATAGGTAATGCTGAATTGCAGTTTGAATTGGCTTGGCTGCTAGCGGGGAAGTAGGTCCTAGTTTGAGAGTCTGACGCTCTGAGTTGAACAGTTCAGTGTAAGATAAGTGTACATCTTTGATACATTTCAGGAACTCTGTGTTTTACCTTGACAAATATCTCCAGGGCTGCAGTGGGCTCTGTCCTGGAGGCAGGGGGCTGCAGGCCGGCTCTCTGCAGAAGACCCTCCACCTCAGGAAGCCTCAGCACCAGCCGGGTCAGCTCCAACAGCTGCTCCTCTGCGGCCCGGCCTGAAGACAAGCAGGTACACACCGGGTATTTCAATAATGATGCATAACTCATCTCTAATACGAAACAAGCAGGTATAAAAACAAGCCATCATTTTCTCCTCAAAGATGTTCACTTTTTCAAGCAGAGTAGAGTTGAGGTCATGAAAATTAAGATTTACCTTTGAGTAAAGCACCATTACAATCTGGCGTTTTGTTGTGATCATTTAGGGGGCAAAGAAATCAACTAGGTAAATCCAATGTCATACATCATTTAGCATAATGCCAGATACTTCCTGTCCTACCCAGAGAGTTCATCTACTTTCCTACCCATTACTGTTTGGGAAACACCTTTCTGAATGGAATAACATGCAAATCATTCCATAGACACTGTGTCCAAGGAAATCCTGCCTGGTGGACAATGGTTGGTTATGTATTTATCACATCCTAGGCTCAGAGGCGTTACCTGTCCTGCTGTCGGACCCGTCGGGGTTCTTGTGGAGGTGCTGCTGGAGGACGCAGCGGAACCAGGCCCTCACTGACAGGCTCTGTGCCGAGCCGGACACCACTGAGTCTCTGCTCAGTGAGGACACCAGCTCACTGGAAACACAGACACAGAGCATAATAAACACAAAGGTAACATGTGTAGTTATACAGCTGGCATGTTTTTACGACTATTGGATCTTTACTGTTGATGAGTCAATGAAGAACAAATAATAAAATATGAAATGTTCCTCATATACAACATCAAACACCATCTGTAGACATGTGACTGAAGAGAAGGGGGATAACTATACATGCAAGCACATTCAACATAAGTGTCAATCTTCCCCTCAGATATATCTCGAGTTCATACAAAAGCTTTTATTACATGGCTTAGTTGAATACATAATTCTGATTGGTCAATTTGGACTCTCCGGAGGTGGTTAATTCTTTCTAACAGACCACTGCTGAGGAGAACAGAACATTGCTAAGGAGGAGCAAGGGACTATGTGGAGTCAATCTGCAGAAAGGAGTCGGGTAAATGTAGCTGTGAGCTACAAATAAGAGTTAAATCAATAATGTGAACAAGTCGTTGGTTTATTATGTAGAAAGCCGTGTTATAATCAGGATCCTGATCACCATGTCAGTGTTCTTTTTTCATTAGTGACCACATTATCCCTTACTTAATGAAACGTTTAGAAGGAAAAAAGGGAGGTGAAAATGTCCATCTAGGACAGGGGTGTCCAACTCAATTTCAATCACGGGCCACATCGAGCCTCATCATGTCTCAAAAATCAAAGATCAATATTTTTTAAGTGAATAATATATATTTTTTATTCAAGCACTATTTAAGTGTCTATCATTTGAATCCAGATATAATATTTTAATTGTCTGAAAGTCAAGACTTAGAAAACCCCTGTTCCGGACCCTGCAGTGTTACTATGGTTATTAATATCAGCCTGTCAATCATTATTTGAAACTCAACAAGTGTTTTATCGTCTGAATATAGCGAGAAGACGTTCATACTCATTTTTTAATCAACCAAAAACCTGAACTGACCGTAACGCACGTTATTGTAAGATAAATCCATGTGTGTCTCTGAATCAGCTGTAGCGACACCGACTGACGGGTCATTCTGTCTCTTGGTCCTGGGACCTGTCTTGCTTTGGTTGGTGGACCGTACTTCCATTACGCAGGATTTCATCGTAGGATAAACTCATTATATTCTTTGCGAGCCACACAACATGGGGTTTAGGGCCAGATCCGGTCAGTGGGCCTTATGTTTGGCACCCCTGATCAAAGGTGTCGTAATTTAACTTCATTTTTGCAAACCCTATATTTAAGTCAGATATTGCGAGCACTTTACACTGTAGTGAATGGACACTTGGCAGGCTGGTGCTTCTCAACACAGAAGAGGAGTGTCCTTGTTCTGGCTTTATATTCAGGTGCAGCCCCTCAGTATCTCTTGGCTCTGTCTGAGGAGGACCTCAGAGTTTGAAATAGTCACTTTGTTTTCTACCCTTGAGGGTGATCGTGAAGATGCACTACATTTTTTATTCTGTTTTGAGGCATGGGAGCAATTTCCTCCTTATAACCGATTTTGATAACACCAAGGACGCTCAGTGTCTAATCTATTAATTAGATAAATACCTACAGGACCTGTAGAAAGCTATTTTGTCACGACATGTTCAGAGGTGTACATCATCTCACCTGATGTTTTCCCATTAGGAGCAATGTGATAGTGATGGAGGCACAGAGGGTGGATTTGAAGGCTACCTGTTTTGGAGCAGATGGGGAAGGTAGCGAGTCACCAGGACGGGCTGAACCATGTCGTCCCAGCCGAAGCATTGCATGATGGACTGGACCGGGTTGGGCTGAAGGTCCTTGGGGGCAGAGCCAGGCAGATCAAAGGCCAACAGCGTGAAGCCTGAGGAAGAGGGAATTGTTTCAATTGAGTTTCAATGACTAGAAAGTGAATACATACATGGTTACAAGTGCAGTGTCATTTACTGTATGTGGGCACCAGAGCTTCGTTTCTCTGCACAACTGTTTCATTTCTCCCTCAGAGCATCGGGCAAAATATATATATATATTTTTTTATTTTATCTTTATTGGACCTTTTATATTTAATTCTTATATTCAAAAAGTATCTTATTTGATTCTATCTTTTTATTGCACATTCGTAGTTCTTATGTTTATATACATATTTATCTTTTAAACATCCGTCACACATGAGTATTTCTGATTCTGACAGATTCTGAAATAAGGCCAACTCTTACCTCTTATTGAATATAAATATTACAAAATCTCTATTCAATTTAAATAAAAAGGTATTTAACCGTTTTTATGGGTGTGCTCAACATTTGGTAGGAGAAGGCAGTAGGATGCTTTTTTAATAGAAAATGGCCACATATGATACTCTGTATGCAAAAGTAGATCATATGTGTGGTGCTAACTCAGGTTACCCTTAACTCTACACTAGTAATGTGTACAATTGTTCTATTAATTTAGACATGTTCTGGTGACGTGACATTGTGATTATGATAGATCTACTTACTCTGCCTTAGTTTTATTTCATTTGGTGTACTTATTATAAGTGTGATGATTGAATGTCTTGTGTTTTGTGTGGTTACCCCGGAAGAATAGTTGTTACAGCAGTTATAAATAATGGGATACCTAAATAAAGTAAAGTGAAGGTGCATGTTTGAGACTGTATATCAAATGTGTGTTGCACTGAAAAACATGTTGTGGTTGGGACTCTAGTCTAGTCTGTGGATTCATGCTGGGTGGGGCCAGATTTCTTTGGTCCGATCAAAGCTGTAGTAGGCATGTGTTCATTTATGTGTTCTTTTCTTCTTCCGTGAAAGTTCTCTGCTGCGTAGAACTCGGCATACACTGAAAGTGATCAGTTTCAGTCGTCACAAATCTATTTTGGTTTTAGCATTATCCAAAACTCTTCCCTCCACCCTGTCCTCCCTCCACTCACTGACCTGCAGCAGCGTCTGCCAGCTGTGCGGGGGGGGTCTGTGAGAGGCGTAGGCTGCGCAGAAAGGAGAAGAAGTGCGCCCAAAGTGCTGCTGCTACCGCTAGGTGGCGCTCTTTCACCACACTGCCGTTACCCGGAGCCCAAGCCGAGGTGGGGGCTGACTGGACACTGCGCTGATGGACCCGCCTTTGAAGGACACACAAACACAAAGAAAAGCAGATAAACAAATCTATCAGACACAAAAAAATCCCAAACAACTCCGCCCTCAAATCCTTCTGCTCCCTCCTTTCACTCCTTCTTCTTCTCCATGTGTCTCTCCAGGGGGATTACTGGGTGCGGCGGTGCGCTGCAGTGTGGCGCAGAGCAGGGTGGATGTGAAGGTGGGGAGGATATTGTAGGCATAATGCTGATCCCCTGTACACAGACTACACCTTGGCTCATCCCCGGCCCCAGCCCCAGCAGCCCCACAGTGGCTGGCATTAGCCCAGATAAGCAGCTGAAGGAGCTGTAATCTCATTTAGACTGGAGATGATCCTCCTGTCCCCCTCGAACGCTGCATGCGGGGGGTGTTGGAGAAGGAGGAAAGGACAGAGGAACTAGTAACCCCCCCCACCCTGAATCACACACACACACACACACACACACACACACACACACACACACACACACACACACACACACACACACACACACACACACACACACACACACACACACACACACAGCAGCGCCTTCCCTTCCAGCAAGGTTGCATCTAATCCAGAGAGAGCTGAGACAATCGATTAGAGTCTGAATTCATTAGCCTCGTTACTACTGCGGAATAGGCCTTTCACACCCATCAACCCTCATTGTACAAGACATCATCAGAGACCCCACTTAATCCTGCTCACTGCGGCTTCTTACGATGTGTACACACAAGCACACACTCAATGCCAACACACCATTAGGGACCCTGTTTAACCCTTCCCCTGGCAGCAAAGAGCATACGAACGTATAAAATGTAGCATCCTAAAAATGACACATCAAACCCACGTTTCTCCATATATCTCTATTTAACAGAATAGGTGTAACTACATTTCTCATAAGTAACCTAGCAGTAGTTGTCCTTGACTTTGAAAAATAAGGCCTCATTTTCAGTAAACGGTCTTAACGCTCACAAAGGAGAACTCTTCACAGGGAGGCTTCTTTTTTTTTTACCAAGCCAAGGTGATAGGGATGACTTGTTTGTTCCAAAACACAGATTCAGCATGGTGCGCCAATGCCAGCTCACCTCATCAAGCGGCGACGCCCTCCACACTCCCACAGGAGAGGGTCATGGGAAGGAATTAAACAGAGGAATTAGGCATGGGACTGGCTTCCTGCCTCAGCGCCATGGCAGCGGCTATCAAGAGTTGAGCGTCCGGACCCTCCGCTGCCTCGCCGATTGGCAGAATAATTTTCTTAATGTGTGCGGCTCTCAGAAGACATAATGATGCACAGGCGAAATTTGCCAGGCTACATAATTGCCCATTAATTGTGTCACAGAAAAGGCATTAATCACAAAGAGATACCGAGAATTGCCAGGATGAACAATTATGTTTAATTTGGTGGGACGGATTGAGAAGAGAGAACATGGGATTTTTTTATTTGGTTAAATGGGTCAGTGTGGTCCGGGCCATAACACAGGGGGCCCTCTGGGACATCTTTCCTTCTTCTTACTCTCTCTTCTTGGCCATTAATGTGCAAATGTGTGCCCTCCAACCCCCGAGATCTGAGATGGGAAGTTTGGGAATTAGCAAAGATAACGAGATGATATAGGAGCCCAGCGTTGGAATAAGAGAGGCGTACACTTAGGTTAATGCTTCACTTGTGGTGTGTGGGCAGGTTTGTGTGTGTGTACGGAGGAGAGGGTGGAACGTATACACTATAGAATTAAAGCAATCATACACCTACATGAAACACTTAACTTCACAATGTCCTTATTCTGGTGTTTCAGCTCTTTTAGTAACCTTTTGTAGGCTGTGTAGGTAAAAAGTGACAGTTATATTTTATGCTTAGGAAAGCCCTTCTAAATCTAAATAACGTTTTTAAGAAATGACGTTACTATAAAAAAAACGTGGAATATGTACTTACTACGACTGAGGATGAAACCTTGATGTTTTTTCAGAACAGATTTAGATGGCTTCTGGCTCAGATTTGTTCTCTTTTTCCCCCACCTTTTATCACACACTTTCTGCTTGTTGTCATAACAGACACAGTTAATGACCACCTGGTAAACATAGCAGAGCATTTAGCATCTATAGAGCCATATATTTTCTCTTAGGAGTTGTTTGAGACCAAAACAGAGTTTAAAGGAGCGTGAATGTTGAGTTTATTTTGACCAAGTAACCAGACAAATGACTCTAAATGATTAAAATAGGCAAGTGTTTGCTATAACGACCTTAAAAAAGTCACAATATGTAATCATTGAGTTTGAAACTTGCTTAAATAAATGCAGCATTTACATTTGAACATTTACAACAAAGTTCTTGGTCACTTACTTATATGACTTTTAAGTTAAAAGAAAGTGGTTTTGTAGAAAATCTGGTTTTATTTCTAAAAGTAAGGAAGACAAAAAGTATTATTTAAATGTATTTATAGTCCTGGTACTTGATTTGATTACTTTCTAGGAGAAATTCATTGCATTGTGTTTCTTTGCCAAAGTTGTGCACACACTGGGAATATGGCTCGATTAAATCTATGAAGTCATTGTCTCATACTTAAAAAAACATCATTAACAAGTTTAAAGTAATAACTTCTTGCTATACTTCTTACGTGTGATAATTATAGTTTATTTGAAAGAGTTGTTGCAAACGGTGACACTCACACCAGATTTGACTGAATCTCTCCGGTGAGAGCATCATTCCTCACTCCATATCCTCCCGGTCTCACCTGATTTGTGTCTACCCCCCCTCCTGTCCCCACCTCCACATAAACAGACACTATTCGCGTTGTGACTCTCTGACCTTCAGCCGGGGTCGATCATGTAACAGACACCCGTGTCCTACCCCTGAACCCGTCCTGACGCCCTACTGACCATAGTCTCTCTGCCGCCATCCCCATGACGACAGGAGGGTCCATGGAGGCTCCCTTGGGCCTGTAACTCTACTCAGAGCTTCACCAGCACCTGGTGAGGGTGACACCGGGGCCACTGGGTCTACTGAGACTAACAGGGGCCTCAACGCAACACAGGACGCTTATTCCTGCTGACAGCACAAACCACCTATTGTCAGTATGAGAAGAGAGTGACTCTGGGATGGCAAGAGCAGAATAGATCACTATCCTCTGCTGTAGCCAGTTGTTAATAGATGTTAATAGAAGTTTAGTATGGACTGGGCCAGAAAAAAACTGGTCTGAAAATTCCTACTATCTGTGAAGGTGCGGAATAATTTGAGAGACTGAGAAAAAGATACATTGGAGCTGGAGAGTATATTTCCATCAACTGTCTCACCTGAGCTGGGAGAGGACGATCTGCAGGAAGCCCAGGGCAGAATTCAGCTCCGAGAGGCGGCACGCAGGCAACAGCCAATCAAAACCTTCGTTGAGCAGCTTCTCCTCCGATAGGTTGAGGCTGCTACTCGTTTCAAACACTTCAGCCACGCCCTCCAGGTAGGAGCCGAGGGGCCCCCAGAGGGCGAGCCTACGAGACGCATCTGTGGTCTTATCGTAGAACTCTTTGGCAGTCTCATTGAAGGAGGAGGCCAGCCAGCTAGCCTGGGCTCCAACATCCAGACCCCTCTCCTGGGAGAAAAAGATTGAAAGAAGAATAACAAATTAAGTTTGATCTGGTGGAATTTTTACACCAAAAATATTTTGTTGTGTGCAAGGCTCGCAACAATACACTAAACAACCCGATAGGGTGGACAGGATCCCAACACAAAAGGGACAGATCTTGAATTACCCTTAAGGGTTTCCATTAGTGTTTACTTCCTGTCTATCTTCTTCTGCTGTTCCCTTAATTGTTTACTTCCGATTAATCTTTTTCTGCAGTTCCCTCTAGCGTTCACTTCCTGTCCATGTTCTTCTGCTGTCCCCTTTAGTTTTACTTCCTGTCTATCTTCTCCTGCTGTTCACTTCCTGTCTATGGCTGCATCTCACTTCTCTTATTTTTTATTTCCTCGCTCCTCGGGCTCGGTATCACCGGAAGTTGATTTTTCTGCGCCATCTTGAGTACCGTCCCATGGCCCTTATTTGTGCCGGAGGACCGAGGACCGAGGATCGAGGAGCGATAACAGAGGAACCATCAGACCATCCTCCGGTGAAATCCTCAGCCACTCGCCCCGCCCCCTTACTGTGTATCGCTCACTGATTGGACGATGCAGCGCATGCACTGATCTGATGCTTCTTGACACGAGAGCAGTTTCCCAGCGGAGTGAAGAAAACACATGAAACTCACGGGAGTCACTCCAGTGTTTTGTCTCAATTAATGTATAATTTAGTTACAAATATGTGATATATCTGAACAACAAAGTGGACAATCCAATGAATGTTAATCTAACTGCATAGTTTTGATAGATAACATATCTCTTTTTCTTCTCTCAATCATTTTCCCTTTAGTGTTTACTTCCTGTCTCTCTTCTTCTGCTCTTCCCTTTAGTGTTTACTTCCTGTCTATCTTCTTCCGCTCTTCCCTTTAGTGTTCACTTCTTGTCTGTCCTATTATGCTGATTTCTCTATCGTCCATCTATCTGCGTCTTTTAACCTCTTTCATGCATCCCCAAAATATAAAAAGGGATATTCTTTTTTACATCTGAATTAAATGAGTGGTACTTCTCTCTTGGCTTCTCTATTGGTACTGTATATCGTCCTAAGTTCAGCGCGTCGCTAGCAATGGTCTGCTATCTTGAAAGAGCAGATCTCTGAATTTCCTAATTGACCAATCAGAATCGAGTATTCAACTAAGCTGTGTAATAATTACAGATACAATTCCTGATTGATACCTGGAATAACAAGAGCAGTGCTAGCTGTCCCCTCCAGACCAGGGTGCGATGCCCGGGGGGGCAGTTGGAGGGAAGGTAACCCAGCAGCTCACAGGCTCTGCTGGCCACGTCCTCCAGCTCCATTTGCCTGGCCACCACCAGGAACAGCAGCAGGAAGTTCATGAGGCCAGACTCTGGAAGCTCCTGCATCTTCTTAGAGGAGAACTTGGAATAAATCCTTGAAACATAAGAGAACAGAGAGAGTTCTTGAAACGTGGCAAAAGAGATGGTCTACTACAGCACATTCAATAATAAAGTGGCTGTTCCAGCGTTTCCATATAGAACTTTTGAATGTACCGGACACATTTAAGAAATTCTGGTCAATTATTATCTGTGTTTATTATGAAGCTTGAAAACAATAGATAGGATGTCTGAGTGACCTCATCAGGGCATTTAGATGTATTTTTAATCGAAAAGTATATACTTTTTCAAATAAACCACGTCCCGTCAATTGACAAAAACTGTACGGTTTTATGCAATATCACTTAATATGGGGAAACAAAATGGTTCTATTGCTTGAAAATGAATTTGTTCTTACTTCCACTTACCAGTTCTACAGAGGTGTTTTGTTATTCTAAAACATCCGACTCAAAATGCTGACTAACTGAACTTTCCACCTCCACTGTGCATCCCAGCACCTGCCTCCATCGCCCTCTAAGCTCTATGCGCGTGCGTGCGTGCGTGCGTGTGTGTGTGCGTGTGTGTGTGTGTGTGTGTGTGTGTGTGTGTGTGAGAAGGAGAGAAAGCTACAGAGAGCGTAAGCAGGATCTAACAGCGTGCCGGGTGGTTCTCTCACCCAGCACGCTGTTAGATCCTGCGGGCACTGTGGAGAAATGCCTTTAAAGATCATGTTAAATGTCAGAGACACTCAGACACGCAGCAGTAGGCGCTTGGTCCCTCTCTCTTCAGCCAAACCAATTTACTGCAACACCAGAGAGGGATCAATAAAACCACACGCACACATGCATTGCCACACATCCTGCTTGCTGTTTGCTTGCCTGGCAGGAAAACACAAAAGGCAGGAGCCCCCCTTCCTCTTTAAACACTACCTTCCCAAACACAGATGCAGCCCACACAGGTGAGTGGAGCTGCTGTTTGGGTCAAAACACAAACCGCCAGCATCCCAGGACAAACTCGGAGTAAGAAGTATGACGGATATAGAGGAGTGGATAAAAGGAAAGAGGAACTGAGAGGGACCAGGTTAACATCTTCACAGATAAAGGAGGAGGAAGCTGCGCGTGCAGTGTGTGTGTGTGTGTTTGTGTGTGTGTGTGTGAGAGGAGGGAGATTTAAATAGATGAATGGGTAATATCTAACAGGGATATAAGCAGCGCGCTGGGAGGCAGCAGGGAGGATTTTCTGTGTTCTCCCAACCTGTCTGTCTGTTTGTTTATTCCGGACAGCTTTTTTTCCCGGAGGCGAGCAGATGCTCCTAACTCCCGGCGTTGGAGATCAACATGCTCGCAGTCGATCCCATTAATGCGGTCGGCGCGGGTGTCCCGCAGAGCCCGGCCAGGAGTAGGAAAGCTGCCGAAACGCTGTTGCAATACACGCCTCCTGAGGGTGGGGGGGAGGAGGTAGTGGTGAGGGATGTGGAGGAAGGGGGGATCTGGACCTGTCCCAGCCCAGCCTGGTGGTTGCCAGACTGCCTACCACCCACATCTCCCCCCCCCCCCCCCCC